AAATTTTTAATGTAGTATTTCTTTTTTTTTTTTTACCAAATAAATAGTTAAGAAGTTAATAAAGTTAATTTGTTAGTAGTTGAAATTTTTTTAAGAAAATGAACGTTTCACCTCCTCATTTGAGGTGCATGACCATTAGGTCGTAAGTTGGTGAAGTTCACAATGGTAGCAGAGCTCGAAGCCCTAACCTCCGCGCCACCCAAACCCTAAAGCTTGAGGGCCAACCAATTGAGCTACCGTCCGAATGGCAAAAAAAAAAGTCCCGTTTATTTATCACCTCGTGTCGTGAAAATTAAAGCTTCCAAATTGAAAATGCTCTTATAACATTAAAAAATGAATTGAAAATAAAATTTTCTTGTCCTGTGTTTCACCAACTCCGTTGAATAATATTTCTTCAATTTTATAACTTCGTTACTTATTCCAATACACCAGAAAAAAAAGGGGAAAAAAAACACAAAAAAACCTCTTTTATCAGAGAAAGTTTTCGCACCTCTTACAATTTTTTTTAATTAAAAATAGATTATTTATTTATCTAAAAATTTTATTAAAAAAACTCTTTAATAAAAAGGCAATCAGGAGTCCTATACATAAGCACCCCATCGGCATTAACTCCAAATTAATACCGCCTGTAAGCTTTGAGCAGACGCGCTGAGTAAAGAAGAAGAAGCAAAAAAACAGAGGGAATAGTCATTCTCCTTTTCATTTTTATATCTAAGTTGCTGCAGAGCAAAGATGAGACATAGTAACCACGTCGTCGGGCTGGTGAACTTCCTAACCTTCGTGATGTCGATTCCGATATTAGGTGGCGGCATATGGCTGAGCAGCCGCGCCAACAAAACCGAGTGCCTCGAGTTTCTCCAGTGGCCATTGATCGTGATCGGAGCTTGCATCATGGTGATATCCTTGGCTGGTTTTGCCGGCTCGTGTTACAGAAACACTCTCTTGATGTGGCTCTACCTCTTCGTCATGTTCTTCATCCTCGTCGCGCTCGTCGCATTCATAATCTTCGCTTACGCCGTCACCAATAAAGGCTCGGGTCGACCCGTTCTTAACCGTTCTTTCCACGATTATTATTTGCAGGACTACTCGGGTTGGCTGAAAGACCGAGTAGTAAACCCGAGCTACTGGGCCAAGATTAGCTCTTGTATCAGAGATTCAAAAGCTTGTAGCAAGATGTGGAGGAACATTAATGGCGTCCCCGAAACTGAGCATATGTTCTTCTTGAGAAAGCTCAGCCCCATTGAGGTATATGAAAATTTAATTTCATTTTTTTACTTTTT